CATCTGAAGAACGTTTGCTAGCCGTAGAGCGCAAAATATCGGCAAATCATTTAGCTTTCATACACTATTTACATGTTTTGTTTACAAACCGTGTTTTATCGTCTCTACTTTATGAGAAACAACGCACGAACAAACTCTTTCGATAAGTTTTTAAGTCAAGGTTCGTTGCTGCCGAAAATCTAGCTAATTTGAAGATGCATGGCAGGAAGTGGCAACCAAATCCAACCAAACCACTGTTGCCAACTCGTTTCGTAACACCACTGAAAGACACCGCGCTCTAATGATCCTACAGTGTGGTATCGAAACGCGTTAACATTAGTTCATATTAAGTTTTACTATGAAGTTTATTTGGTGTCTTCACGAAGATTCAATGAGTTAGCTGCAACCTACCTTATACTTAGGCTCAACTACCAGCTCAGTCACGTTCCCTTGTACTAGTGAGCTTCGCAGAAGTTGAACAGGGCCATCGTGCGGTCTTTACGGGTTTATGCAAAAAAGAGATGTTTAAATGAAACGACATTTTGTGTGGAGTTCTTATAAATTGTTTATACGATTGTACTATCGTATTTATTGCGCAAACCGTGGATCAACCAGAAGGAAACACGTCAAGGACCGCTTTTCATGCAATGCTAAGAAACAGTTTACGTATGAACAACACATTCTAATACTGATCTGTTAACATGGAATTCCTATGTTTAAGTGTTTAAGTTTAGGTTGTTAGAGTTTGTGTTGAAGTGTTTAAATCAACAGTGCATGTACAACTGCTGGGGTAGCGGGGAAAGACTTTTCAATGCGTATGTTAAAGCGTCACATCTTGATTTTCAGCAGACCAGTCATGAAACGGTTGCTATGTTGTTTGTCGTATGGGAAAGCAGTTAAAATATGCTTGATTAACATAACATAATATAACAGGATATGTATGACTCGTCGAAAACAGGATCAAGAGTTTCAAGGTAAGCTTATCATGCAGGGTTTATAAACAGTTGTATCTTGTCATCACTTTAGCGTAGACAGACAACAAGTACACTGCGACTGAGTGTAATGAATAAATATACGTTTCCAAAAAAGTTTAGGATGCAAAGAT